TCGTCTATCGCATAATGTAGTTACTGAATCAATCACTGTAATTGGTGTCGGTTTTTCGAATTTTGTTTCTCCACTCACCATTTGTTCTATGACACTCCAAATTTCTATGCAGGACTTTTTCCTCCCGCCTGTGGAGAAAAGGAAGGAAGGGTAATGAGAAGGGGGGAAGGGAGGCATAAGTCAGGATAGGTTTCACGGACCGGCATGGTTTTGTCATGGATATAGCCAACAATGTGGACAGGAATAGAAAATGGTCTCATCAGGTCAAGATATACTAGTTTGATCATCAAATAGGGGAGGATGGGGCAAATCGGTCCCCCTTCAATCGTCAATATTTTCTGATTCAATAATCCGATTGGGATGAGTTAGAGCTCATTTTGAAGAATGAAAAATTATCTTCAAAATGAAGTTGAAACTGGGAATTTTCACAATGTCATTCACAAGTTATTGACAATTGAAGGGGGGCCGTTTTGCCCCACCCTCCCCTACTCATGAATCAGTATTCTCAATTCTATTCTAAATCATTTTGGCTACAAGACGCGGAGAAGTTACTCCAAGATTGGAATCATTCTGTTAGCTCATGCATCAACGACATTTTGATGTCCGGGCCGCAATATCAAATGGTCCTCGATGGCATGTGATAATAGTTTGATTTAGATGTTCAAATAAAAATTGATTTCAATCACCTCGAGTGTCTTACAACAGAATTCCCGAATTAAAAAAATTTTCTGTATGTGGGTTGAAGTTGTATGAATTGAATTATTGATCTCATTTCACTGTACAACTTGACTCATAAAACTTTGCCAACGATATTTAACTCATGCGATTTTACCTCAAGAATACGATCTCTCCCATTTGATTAAAACTATTTCAGACATACGATTCATTGGCGAAGGGGCAAAACTATTCGAGTCAACTTAACTACTAGCTGAGTTTTCGAGGAATATTCCCAAATCTAAGGGATTTGGGAATATTCCTCGAAAATTCCCAAATAGCGAAAATAGCGAAATTTTTGTATCAGCCTTTTTTATAGGTCTCAATTCGCTCTACAAAGAATGTTATTACAAAAAATTTGCTATCTGCCTTAGAATTCGAGATCTTGATTTCAAACTGACCAATAGTTACAATCTACTTAAACCGTTTTACCGCTTCGCTACTGAATTTGACTCATACCGAATATTCTACAAAATTCAATTGGTCCTGTATAATTCATACGATTTTACCCATAAAAATTTCACCCATAAGCCTTAGTTCATTGAATTTTATATGAACATTTCCAATTTGTTTCAATTCATAATCTTCACCCCAAATATGGACTGGAAATCATTCTGGATGATTCTAATTAATTTCATCACTTGAAAAAGAAAATCCGGGAGTGAGGAATCCTTGTCGAAAATCTGCGATAAATTCCTGATCCATATTGGATATATTATACTCACAATAATCGACGTTTCTTCTTCCTACTGGGAGCTCGTCTTTATGTGTAAGTTTTATTTTTCCCCAGATGCTTTGAACGATCAATCATTTTGAGTGCCTTGGAAACATGCACTCCTTAAAATACTTCACTTAGATGTAAAGAAAGAGAAAACGTAAATATCCTTAGTATTATAATCCAGCGATTCTCTTGCAGAAAAAAAATCACATAAGAGAACAATAGTCCTGATAAGGAAATCAGAGGATACTAAAATCATAGCATGCAGTCATCGGTAGCCTATCTTCGATCCAGCAACGCAGTTCATTTGAATAATTCCAATTATTTACACATTATGGATCCTTATTATTGCACCGGATTTATGTAGTAACGAAAAATACGACATAAATAAAAAGTGACGTATCAGGATCATCGGTTATGTCTGCTGCAGTCGATAATATCGATCGCAAATGCGAGATATCGGCCGCAGTAATCATATCAGATGGAAAACTAGCCAACATAGCGGTCCTGGGCTGTCAAACCACCTCGATATTTTATTTATTTATTTCGTCAACTCTCGAGTAAATCAGAAATGAATTATTATATGATGATAATAATACCTTGCCTTACCCTACCTTATTAATGGCAATGTTCCTATTTGATCGCTGATGTTGAATAATAATTCCTACAGGTGTTTTGAAAAGAAAGGCATGGGTGGTAGCTACGGACTGAAACACAAAATCAAATTGTTCCTTGTAAAGCGAATTGGGATCCAGGCTATGGACCAAGCTTTTCAAACTTTTCACCAATACAGCGTTGAAAATGTATAAAATGAATTTTAATTGAGTTTATTTTCAAGACTTTTCAATATAATATCGAATCCTTGTAATAGAATTTCAGTAACTATCACCCCAGAATAGTTTTCAACGTAAATACAAATGTATTCTTCGTAAGCAGAAAAAAAAAAGAAATTTTCAGCAAATTATAACTTGGTCAAAAAAAAAATCCGGCTAAAAATTGAGCTACAGCTTCTTTTTATAATAGAGAACTTAGGAAACAATCATAGACGAAATCGAAGACATCGATTTTCTCTGACTGCTAACTTGGCGTGGACTTGTTCCTAAATAACTGTAGAGAACGAATTCAGTGATTGGTTTAGCATTGTTGATGCAGATTACAAGCTTCCTGGGGAGCGTATTAGTTTTATCAAAATTACGATCGATTAATACAATTTATGTCATTACCTCGCTTGCGATCTTAATGGAACAATTGTTACAAGAACCAAGTTGTTCTAATTCTCTCAGAGTCCAAGTTTTGGTGCCCACCGAAATTTCAGCATCGTAACACTGGAAGGAAAATAAAAAAAAATTGTCATTAGAAGTGGCCAGCAGGAATGATTTCAAGATATTTCTATACGAGTGATTCTTTGCCATGTGAGCCATGGCACCTATTTTCGTCATAGTTTCAAATTTATTTCATTTTTTCCCCGGTAATTATCCTACATTCAAGGGCTTTTTGTGATTTTTTTCACATTTTTAGCGCTGTTATTAGCTTAGATATGAGAAATGTGAGCAATTTTTCCATTTTTGCTTCCGAATGGAAGCTTTGTATTCGTCAAAGTTTAATATTCCATTCTCATCTTCTTCGTAATCATTGTCGTCAGTAATTTTGAAGTAATTATTGGATCAAATTAATCCAGGAGGGTTATTGTGCCATGTAAAAAGTACGACGTGCACGCAGTTTTGTATATATAGCTAAACAGCCAAGTTCTATAACGTGTTGGATCCGGTGCAGCCCCCTATTGTGTTGAATAAAACATTCTGGAAAAAACGGCAAACAAAATTTCGCATAAGTTAGAAAGAATCGTTTTTGATGCATAATTCTTGGACTACTGTATCATCTATGATACAAATTTCTTTTATCTTATTATTACCACGATGATCTTGTTCAGTCCAGCTATTTAGTCCAGTTATTGAATGCGAAATTTGAAGATCATAGTTCTTTTTCAGCTTTTTCAGCTGTGTGATTTTTTGTGTTATATCGACCCAGTATGATCTAAAAAGCCCGAAAATGCAATTTTTAGATCTCGTCCATATGTGTGTGTGTATGTGTGTACGTATCTAACAAAGTTTTGCTTGGTTTTGCTCCAATTGTTCGCTAATGAATGGATGGAATTGGATCTTTTTTTCAAATGTAGGTATTGTTGAGCCCTATCAATCCCCGTTAATTAAAATTTAATTCATCGATTAGTTTTTGTCATTTTCAAATTTTTTCGAAAATTGGTTGCCCCACGGATAAGTAAAAAAGAACAATTCTGAATTGATTGAATGATGGCTTAAAAAATTTGTTTGGCTGTGATTTTGACAGCAATGATCGTTATTTTGATTTATCTGAAAATTTTCAAAAATTTTGTATTTTTTGAAAATCAGAATTTCGGGGATATTTTTGTGTATCATGCTTCGAATGAGTTCAATCATAACTTAAAATGTTTGTTTTAATGCCATTAAATCGAAGTTAAAAGATGATAAGTGAGCTTTATGATGGTTTCTTCAAATATGTGATGTTTCAAATTCATTCATGTATGTATAAATACTATTTTTCTATTAACATTTTATCGAAAGGCTGAAGGGAGAGATAGAATCGTGAAAAAGATAATCGGTTGTATACAAGAAAGGGATAATAAGAATAATCATGATGATAACTTTCAACTATGTAGAAAATCTGACAAAATTAGTTAAAAAGAAGTCATTCAATTTAATAAAATGAAATTAACCATGAATAATTAATTGTTTATTTAATTTTATTAAATTTAATAAGATTTCCTTTACATGATAGAAGGAAATGATGTGCAAAATAACCATTCGGAAGCCAATTGCTAATTTATTAGCAAAAATAACTATACTATATGCAATACAAGAGCAATTTCCCACTTGTTTTAATGTAATATCATGAGCAGCCAAAAAAAAATTTCTCAAAATATTCTTATGGATGGTAGAAAATCAAAAATTTTGACGTGCCATCAATCAAAATCGGATGGATAAAACTGGAGTTATTAAAAAAAAAAAAAAAAAGACAAAATCATATCTCCGAAATGGGCTGTTGAAAAAATCTGAAAAATATGGAGATAGTTTTTCTAGTCCCCCAATTGTAGAAAAAATCGACATCAATTTCCAAGCGGGTAAGGATCAGCCGTTGACTCATTTGACATGGAATACCTCATATAGGAGTTTCATCATTTTTCATCCATCAAAGGTTATTGAATCTCAATATATTGAGCCCTCGCCAGGCTTGGTAACAGAAGGATCCCGTACTCTCAACCACCTTAATGTTCGATCGTCTCTTTCGATCCCGTTATTATTTTATTTTTGTTTTAGTTCACGGACGTGTTCTGCTACTTTTATATATTTTTATTTAATTATTTCGACCCAATTTTTCCAATAAATATTTTATTTAATTATGTAAGTGTCTTCATTTACCACTATATTGAGCCCTCGCCGGGCTTGGTAACAGAAAGTTACCAAGTCCCATACGTGAGGGTTGGAAAGGAATAGAATTGTGACTCGTCACAAAACAAAACAAAAAATTGAAATAATTTTTCATCAATTATTTATATACGAATCATTTTTACAAAGCATTCATTGTAAACATTAATAATACATGGGTATTGTTCTCTACTCCATCATCATACTCTCTAGTTGTTCAGTGTTTAAATTTTTAAAAATCGTCTGTTCGTCATTTCGTACGCAGTATTTATAATGGGTTAATTATCAATCGATCATCTCCAGTTACTCTCGTGTATCTAAAAAATAACTCTGTTTTACAACGTTATATGTATACATATATATATCTAATATATATAGTGAAAATTTAGAGTAATATTTATTACTTTGTAACGCAATCGTTCGATGCATATGTACAATATTATGTACAAAATTCAATTCTTTTATTTAAAATAACATTCTCAATGTTCCCTCCATTTATTTTCGCTAGATTCAACATTTAATTTATGTGATAAAAACCTAGTGCTCCTCCCTTCTGATTATCCCCTTTCATTTGACTCACGAACGATGTAAGACTTCCGTTGAACTGCGGAAGTCTTAATCATCTTTGAAAAAAAAATTCTGCACGTAATCATTTCTCCCATTTTTTTCAATTTCTTGTCTCTCGTTTTCCTTCTTAGCTTTAATACCGGTACGAGGGTAATTCGTTCATTAGTGCCTTGCGTGTCTAGATCAACTAGTTTATAACATTTTTGAAAAGGAAAAAATGAGAAATGAGATGAATTGAATTCTCTTCACACCTCGCAATCTTTTTTTTACATTCCATTCTTTTGAGTGAAATTTGGTTCAGAGAACATTGTTTAATGGAGAATTGCATGGACTAAAAAAAGATCTTGGAATTTTGATTTTGAAATTTTTACGAAATAATCTGTCAATCTTTTTTTGTAGATGAGTCAATCACAGAATTTCATAGAATTTCTTTTACAATTATTGGGTTCAAAGAAAAAATTCCACGATTCCATTTTTTAAGTTCATAAAATTCTTTACAAATTTTTTATTTTTATTTTTGTGAACCTCTTCGTTACGTTAAGATATTTACGAGAAAGTTGCATTCCTCCATTTTTTTTTCATGAGTATTTTCAACATAACTTTTTCGTACAATCAGTTCCGCGGGAGGTCTACCATTTGATACAATTTATGAGACAAAAATAGAGTTGAAGAAAAATAATGGACAGCAGGGAATTATTTTCCCCCTCAATCTGGAGATATTAAGACTACGCATTTACCGAGATTATAAACCCTCAATTATTCAAAAAGCCATTAATTCAACTCTGCAGTTAAACCAGGGACTGATGTCATTAATTTATCAGAATGTCGGGAGTCTTATGCAGACGTGATGTTCATAAACATTATGTCATCAATCACTATTTGAATTAACGATTTTTTCTTCCTTTATCTTTCATTCGTTTCGAGTTTTTTTTTTTCATTTTTCTTTTAAGGCACTTATTAAATTACACAGCGCAGGAAAATCACGTGGCTCAGTATGGACAGAATTGTAGGCACTCGTTAATTTTTCTTCTTAAGGATGTTTATTAATTTTTAGGAAATCAAATTTTAACGGAACGAAATGAACGTTTTATCTTATATATGGACTCTCATGAGACTCATTTTTCAATTAATAATTCACCTATTGGAAGACTTCAAAAATGAAAATAAAAATGGATGAAAATGTGAAAAAATATAGTGAGATATTTAGAAACTTTAATTAAAACTTTCAGTTGATTAAAAATTTAATCAACATTTGAAGAACATAAAATTTTCTCTGTTTGCAGGTTGGAAAAAACAGAAATTTTCTGAATGCGTACAGTTCCCGAGAAACATCCTTAACAAAAAAATTTTCTTGTCTTATAAATTCATTGTAAAATTTCTTTTCCAATTCTTTAAATTTATTGAAGGGGATTCGGATATCTAAGGCACAGGATTTCTACTTTTTTTCCATTTTTATCATCTTTTCTCTTTGTTTTTAGGCGCAGTCCAGCTGCTCGGTGGGTGACGTACCCCATTCCTCAATAAAAATCATCGATGAAAAATAGGAAACAAATTGGAGTGAAGATTCGAATACATGAATTCACGAGTTAAATAGTTCTATCGCACATTCGTTTGGAATTAAATAATTTATGTATTTACAGTGATTTTTTTTTGTTTTTTTCTTTTCTTCATTCGTTTTAAACTTCAACACCAAGCACTCTGTCAACTACGTACTCGTACCTCTTCGGCTCGCCATTTGTTTCCTCACTTTTATCATCAGTTATCTCCCGGATTGATTTATTCATGTCAGTACCATTCGTTGTAACTTGAACACTTGTACTGGTTTTAGACGATTCTCTAGTGTCAATTCGCGCACTTATTATCGTTGAATTTATTGCTGATGTTTGGGTGATTGAACGAGAGGTGTGGCCAGTGCAGGGCTCTGATGAGTGACGTTTGTGGTGAATCTGGATGGATTCCTGCTCGTCTGGGGGAAGAACTGGGACGTTGAGGTTCACTCGAGTGAAGAATGCCATTTTTTCTCTGAAAGGAGAATTCAAAAGGTTAATTTTGACAAATTCTACATTTTCAACTGATTAAAAAAGATGAATAATAAAGATGAAACAGGTTTTCTCATGCATAGATCTGGGGGTTCAGTTATTTCATGAGTAAACGTTGAGTGATTTCTGCTGCATATGAAAAAAATTGCTACAAGGAAGATTTCTCACGGTTTTTTAAATTGTTGGCGAAATTTTCCGCACAATTGAATGGAAATTTTTATCCACTGACAGTTCCACTGAAATTTCAAGGAATTTCGTTATTGAAAGTTGAGTTCATTCATTTATTTGTTATTGAAAAGGAATATTTTTATGAAAAAGTGAACGGAAACTGTACATTTCAGTTCAACTGATCCAAGCAATTTAGCATTGAATATCCTTTTTTTTTTTTATTGGAAATCCAAATAATTTGAGGAGATTTTTCGTGTTCCTGCTACTAAACTATTTGAAATTCCATTGAATTTTCAATAAAATTCTAAATTTCATGATTATTCCTCTTAAGTCGAATTCAATGTCTCTTTCTTGAAATTAAGTATTAAAATTCCCATAAAATTCTAATTTGTTTGAGTTGAAAAATTGTAAGGTTTAGATACTTTCAATAAACAAAAATTGAGAATGTCAAAAAAAAAATTTTCGTTGCTACAGAACATCTTCATGAAATACTATTTGACATTTCTTTTCGTAAATCCATTCGCATCTGAAATGTTTGAATACTTAATGAAATTAACATTCAAATTTCTGTGAAACACTAGTCTCGATTTTTCTAACATTCATCAATTTTTTAAAATTCTAAATTGGATATTTTTTATCACCTGAAGAAATTAAAATTTTAAAGAAAGATATCCAGTACCAGGAAACTAAACTTACTTAAAAGATATAATATCAGGTTTCCCCTTCCCCGCCTTAGTTTTCCTCAGTTTATAAATCTCCTTGGAAGTCTTCTTCAGCATTTTCTCCACCTTCTTATCCTCCACACTCTTCCCATTCTTCCCGCTCTCAGCCTGGGCCATGAGTCTCTGGAACTTGTGGTCCTCCAACAGCCACCCAGCAAGATCGGCATCCCCCTTCTCCCTGGCAGTCTCCAGCCTCTGCTTGAGGTCCCTCAACCTGTTCAGCTCATCATGAAGATTATTCAACCTCGCATGTTGTGCCTGAAGATCGAGCTCCAGATCCAGGGAAGTTCTGGCAGTCTGGGGTAGATGAGTCGACTTCTTGGAGACTGTCTTGCAACTCAGAGCTGACGAGGGTCTCCGCCAACGTAACGACCTCCTCTCCACAGAATTCCGTTGGAAAGGTCCACCACGACGATACAGAGGCATCGAACTGTCGCTGTCGCTCCTATTCAACCGACAGATGTAATGATTTCTGCTGACTGCAGCGCTCGGTGAGAATGTCTGACTCCTCTTGATGAAGATTGAGTTCTTATCGTCATGAACAGCACCAGGAACTACCCCAGCTGCCGACAATTTCCTCTGCTTACCCTGCTCGGGAATGAAGATGCATTCAGTGTTGGTCTCCTTGTCCAGTGTCTTGGTGGTCTCCTCAAGCTCTTCCTCCTCCTCCTCCTCTTCCTCCTCCTCTTCATGTTCTAGTACGTCCTCCAGGACATTGTCCTCCATCATGAACTCCACGAGAATGCCCTCTTCATCGCTGTCCTCACTCCCACTGTCGGTGTCTCGTTCCTCGTCCTCCTCTTCGGGACTCCCTAGGCAATTCTCAAGCTCCTCCAGGCGAAGGGAGACAGTAGTTTGGAGCTCCTCGCAGCCCTGGTTACGGGTCAGAGTGGAGGTCTGCGAGCTGATGATGGTGCTCTCGTCGCTACTCTCCTCTTTGGTGTTTTGGGACTGGGTACTTCGGTAGACCGAGATGTCGGATTCCTGCTTGTCGTGACGATGCTTCGAGGAGGAAGACGGGGTCTCTGGGGTTGATGGCTGCATGAAACGGAAGGAGAGGATATTGTACCATTTTACTGAGGGAGACTCGGGACTGAAATCTGCAAGTGAGACTTGGGCTGAACCCTGGAAATGGTAAAAAGAGAGAACAACATTAGATTTTTAGAATTTGAAAGTCTGTTTTGCGGATTTTGTTACCAAGAGTTTAAATAAGATGAGATATGGATTATGCTGAGAAAATGGTCTTGAAAATAACTTTGCAATCACTTTGGTAGCGAACCGGCAGGACGATTTAAGGCCCAGGTGGATTATCTTACGAACGTGATCTAGGTTCTTTTTTTTTAATGTTGATAATCTGAAATAATCACCAATTGCTATTCAGTTTTACATAGCCCTGGAGTCTCCAAAAATTATGATTGTATAATCAAAAAAACGTTGAAAAAACCGAAATATTTTCAAAGATCGTTTTTGAATAATTTTGGGAAATAACCGCAATAGGGAGGAAATTACAAATTAATAATTTGATGTATCTAATGGCTGTTAGGTCGTCACAGTAGTCAATGGCTGTCTGATCGTTATTTACCATGATAAATTATCCATGCAATATTTTCTCTCTATCGGACTTATTTCTTAATCTTTATTAAAAACGTTCTTTGAAAATGTTCAGTTTTTTTCTACTTTTTTTTATCATACAACCATAATTTTTAGGGACTCCTGCGTGATGTAAAATCCAATGGCAATTGTGATATATTTTACGTTATGAAGATGGAAAAACAATCAAGATAACGTTCGAAAGATAATCCACCCGGGCCTTCAATTATTTGTTTATAAACAACGAATATTTAAAAAAAATAATAATTCAGTGAAAAATGTAATTTTAATGACGCTGAATATTAATGATTTCCTTCAAATTCTTCTCACGCAATTTAATTGACAAATTTGATGATTGAAAATGGTTGAATCTATAGTGTGGTCTGTGACCAAACTGTGAAAGATATTTGGCTCATATTTTCATTTCAATGCAAATTAATGTCCAAGAGTAACAATTATAGAATCATTTCGTTAATGACTAGTTTTATAACAAATGAAATTTCCTCATTTGTTATGAAACCATGGCTCATTCTCGAGATAAATTCAAAATAAACAAACAATTCCCATTTAACTTATTTGTCGACTCCCGAATTAGTGAATTAAACTAAAAATGAGCAGTTTAATGAACCTATTCTTACCAAGCACTCCTCAGATTCCCCACTGGTACACCAAACATTGACCTGTAGTGTTTTCGTGTACAATTTATTGAGTGGAACAGAAATTGGAAAGCTCTCCCCAAACGTTGGTTTCCGCAAATCCGTCACAGCTTTAGTGCAGCACATGTGATTGATCGGTGGTTGCATGGGCAGTAGAGCGGCCTTGATATACCTGTACACGCAAAACGTAAAACATTAGTCTGGCATGTCACAAGGGCTCTAGAGTCCATTGAATAATCATGAGCAGTGGCAGAAGTTCGATAAAAGGAGCTCAATATCAGCAGAATTAATATCACTCCTTTTGGGAGCATTGTGGATGATAAATGTACTCTGGCCTTTCTCCATCTCATATTTATGATTTCCCCCCTTCCCCATTATGAAGAGAGGGAGGGGTGCCATACAATGATCGAGGCAACGAAAATTCTTTGGTACGCGCCACTCGACCAACGGAATTGGCGATAATCGTTGCATAACGGCGTTTTAACGCAGGCACACGGTAGCCTGGTCATTGATCCAGAGGAGTTGCCTTGTGTGCCTCTCGTTGGTTTTAATACCTCAAGATACCTTACACTTGCTTTGGTATCTCCACCAATATACCCATCTCTTCTCCTTCTACTTCCATCCCCTCCACTACGACCACGAGATTTTTCAAGTGAAAAACATTATTCCTGCACGCTTGCCAGTCAAAAGGATTTCATAATTGCATTCTAATCTCTCGGGAGATCTCGTTGGAACGAGTGGGGGAAAATTGAGTTACGCGCTTTGTGAAAGTGATGTTTTGGGAGGTAATATTTTTGGAGTTTTGAAAATTTTTAGTCGTCATGCCAAGGGGGAGAGAGGGGCGGGTGTGGAGGCTGATGTCATGAGCAGGATCAGACAGATGCGTGGGTTTGAGGAATTTCGATTTTGTGAGGGGGGGAGTTTCTTTTCAGGGGAGCGGCTTCATGGTTTGTTCAGAGGTGAGGAATTAGGTGGGAGGTACATGAAGATCGGACATTTTTGGAAGTAGTGGGTCAAGCAGAGATTGGCAGGGGATATTATTTATAGAGAATTATGGGGTCTCTTGATGATCGGTTCCGCAAGTTTATGTACTAGTTGGCTAATGACTCTGACCCTAGTGTATTCAGAGATAAAATTTTCTTGTTTTAACGAATTTCGAATATGAAACTGATTTTTTAATATGAATACAAAATATGGAAAATTCTACATTTGTCGGAAAATATGGAGAAGTCGTTTTCTATAAGTGCAGAAAATTGTTATAAAAATTTATTTGACATTTTTTTATTTCTTCTATTTTTTGTATATTGGGATGCTTGATAAACTTTCATGTTTCATCACTCTTAATTGAAAAGTTATCTGTCTATTGGCCGCAATTTTTGGCCTGTTAATCAATCTTTCAAAGTAAAATTGAATAATTTGTATCTCATGAAAAGTCAATAGAAAAATCTCTTTTTGTAAGCTCAAAATTTTATATAAAAACGATCTTATGAATTTTTCGAATATATATCTTCGTAATATTTTTGGAATGCTGGGTTCAGAGAAAAATGTCGAACGACTTTCTGAAGCCGTCGAATTTTCTATAAAAATTATCTTCTCATGAATTTCTCTAAACCTCCTCATTCTCAATATCTTTCGTCTCCCAAAAATATTATAAAGAGCATTTCGATCATATCTGAAACTATTTAGAAACGAATATCTTAAGAATCTTTTCCAAACCCTAAAATTTTCTATAAAACAGGTTTGTAGGTATTTTTCTACTAAATCGCTTCCCTCAAAAGATATTTCTAGAATAATATCTGAATGTGAATATGTGATATGTGAATTTTCACCATACCATTCGTTTCAACACTTCAACGTAGAAATGATTGTGGCAATTTTTATGGGAATCATTTCCTAGAAGCAATTATGCAATACGTCTGAATGTCGTTAAATACCCGATCGAAAGTCACTGGGAAAGAAAACACAAAACCTCATATTTAAAAAACATGGTCAACAGTGACCGTGATGCAAGGTTTCTTTCACTCGTTCGCTAGGCCAGAACGTGGTGGCTATTTTAGATCTGGCGCGCTTGACCGGTGCTGGGAATGCGGTGAAGAAAGAAGTGCATTTTGAGCAAGACGAATAGGGACCTCATTTACCTGTTTTCTGTTTTTCTAATGCTCCCCTTAAATACTCTGACATGTAATCTTTCGAAATTGTTTTCAAGTAGAAAAATTCAACTCACACTCGAGTGTTGTCGGGTATGAAGAGAGCAGCCAGATTTCGCGCTCTTTCTATGCCGATATGGAGAAGTCCGTCACTCACTGAATACCTAAATAACAGAAATGAAGTAACTAGTTAGAAAAAAAAACATTCCACATAGCTTTAATAACAATTAAGCAATGACGTGATGAAACGAGATGAGTCAATCAGAAAATATCTGGCGATCCTATGGAGTTAGTAACGTCCTTATTTGTAAATACAATTGAGAGCTACGAATAAGATTCCGATGTAAAATTCTCCACAACTGTCAGAAAATTACTCTTTAAATTGCAAATAAAAACAATTGAAATTTTTAACAAGACTAAATTTACATGAAATTTATCTCCATTTTCTTACTGAAAAATTAAGTAACTTCTTTGAATATTCAATGAAATTCTAATTTCTAGGTCCATACGACAATGAAAATGATTGAAAATAATAAAAATTCAGGCAATTATTTTACGGAATTATCAATTGATTGAAAATTCAGTTGAATTTAATATTCAATTTTCATAATGAATTCTAAAATTCAAGCTGTCCTTGAAATATCAATGATTAATGGGAACTTTCATGAATAATGTGATTTTAAATTGAATTAAACCCCACCACATTGAGAATTCAATTGCAATTTTTACTGAAAATCAAACAAATTTCTAACAGTGTTCCAACAGTTCTCTTTACATTTGAAGATTCTCTTCGAAAATTTAAAGTCAAATAAATTTGTCAACCAGGTCAGATTGTGAAGCAAATTAAGGGGAGACTACTATGAGTTTTAAAGTCGTGGGCGATTGACATAAGATTTCTCATACATTGAAGATCGATTTAATGTCTAAAAATGAATAATTAGTATTAAAAAAATTGACTGTTTATTGTTCGTTGGCCCCACAGACGCTTAAAATGTTAAAAATAGCCCAGGGCCTCCAACTTTTTAGGTACAGAGGAATTTTTTTTTCAAATTTTTTGAAAAGAAGTGTGCAATAACAATTACGAGTTATTTTTTTTTAATTCGACTTCTAATTTCTTTTTTTTATTCAAATAAAAAATAATACCATTTACGTAAAATGGCGCAAAAAATATTTCTCAAAAAATTGAGAATATATTTGGAATATTTCGAGAATAATTTTTTTGCCTATTTTACAGGAATGGCGAAAATGCTGATATTAAACAAAATGAAATTAGTTATGTAGGAGTCGAATTTCAAAAAAACAATTTTTTTGCACTAATTATTCATTTTTAGACATATATAATCTATCTTCAATGCATGAGAAATCTCCTAGTAGTCTCCTCTTAAAATACCTATACAGACATTTTCGAAACTTGAATGGCACGTTTCCCTCCACAGAACCGGTTATCACCAAATATATCTGTACAACTAAAAAATTCTCACCTCAGTTTAATTTGCACTTGAGCAGTCTCCAGATTCATCTCCCCAAACGAAGTACTATCCACACTCTGCATCCCAGACAGTCTCCGCCTGTTGGAAGCCTCGAAAACCCCAGAATCCCCAGCAACACTCTCATCAGAAACAGCAGCAGAAACGGACCTGGTGTTGGTCCCAGAGCTGCTGGCCCTGGACCTGCTGCCAATAGGCGGTGGAGTCTCACTAATAGGCGACAAGGGAGGTTCCTGAGGAAGCGACAACGCCGGCCTCCCCAGGCCACTCCCCTGCGACATGTTTCCACTCTGCATTTCCAAGGGCGGTTGAGGGCTGAACTTGAGCTTCTCAGTGCTGGCAGTTATTTGTTCCTGAATGGCTTGCTGGCTCAATCTCAACTCGGCGAGTTTATCTTCGAGCTGACACCTGTCTAAATGTGAAGTGGCAGGACCCAAGAGCCTCTGCTGCTGTCTCCTCTGGAGTTCCACTTGCTCATAAGCAGGAGGCGGACCCATCGGAGCATTTTCGTAGAGAGGAGACACTGGAGGGCTGACAGAAGACAGGCTAGACCTGGGAGAGAGACTTGGCTGTGATCTTCCAGGGGATGGGGTCCCCATACTCCCTAGATTCTGCTCAGAGCCTCGGAGCAACCGATCGACTCTCCTGTGAAGGTCCACCATGTCCACTGGTCGCTCTTGCTGAACCGTCCCGAGACATTGAGGCCCTCCGTAGATGTCAGTGAAGCTCAAGCCTGAGCTCAAGCTTCCCTTGCTGCTCGTCGTGCTCAAACTTCCGAGGCTCGAACTGCTGCTCACTGAGAGGGTACTGGCACTCAGTGTCTTCAACTGGCCCTCCAACATCGCCATAGATCTCAAAGCATCTCGCAACTGTTGCAGCAGGAGCTGCTTCTCCTCGTGCAATCTCACTCTGTCTGTTATCGTCTTGTTTGAAAGCTCTAATGCATTGTTCAAGTCTTGCTCCAATCTTCTGATCTCACACTGGATCTTCTTCATGTCTTGGTGGGTCCTTGTTCTCGGGGTAATGCTCCTCAGCTCGCGCAGAAGTTGCTCCTTCTCTTGGAAGAGGAGAAGCTTGTCCTTGTCGCTTTCTGTTTGCCCTGGGGTGACTTTCTCCTCGAGGTCTGCTAATTGCTGTTGAATGGCTTGAATTCTTTTTCGAGCCTCGTCGTATTGTAATCTCATCCTCGCCATTTCGGCGAGGCGTGTGCCTATTGGGACTAGCTCCCCGGATAAGTCGGTTTGCGAGGCTGTGCTGAGCTTCTCTTGGGGAAGACTCAGGGTACTCGCGTCGGGACTTCCCTCGCAGAGCTGTAGCCTTGTGAGCTCGTCTTTTAGTTGGGCTAGAGATTGCATCAGTTCGGCTTTTTCCTTTTCCCCGGAGGAGAGGGACTTTTGAATGTTACGGAGCTCTGTCATTATCGCCTGGGCTTCCGTTATGTTGTAACAACCACCGTGATGGGCGTTTAGTTTTTGCTCCACACTGGAAAAGTGATTGGGGATTAATTGATTGATTGGTTGGGGTTGGGGGGGAGATGAGAACGGAAATCTCCATAAGTTGATCCATAAGTAGGAGATAACCGAACTATACTTCAGAAACTGAAGTGGGTTCAGAGAAAAATATCAAGAGACCTTTCTTTTAGAAATTTTCTACAGAAAAGGTCTTTTGGAGTTTTTTCTCAGTATCTCTCGTCATTGAACAATTATCAAATTAAGTGCTGAGCTAAATCAGAGGATTTTCTAAGGATTCTTTCAGAAATATCTCGAAGACTAACGGGGTTTGGAGAAAATGTTAGAAGATCTTTTCTGTTGTTGATGAAATTTTCTATAAGAAATATTCTGATGATCTTTTTGTCACACCGGTCATTACTAAGATAATTACACAATTAAGAAATGAGTAATGAGATAAGTCGAAGGATTTCCTAGACGTCATTTCGAAAAGATGTCGGAAACAAGCGGGTTGACGGAAGAATGTCAGATCGTTTTTGTAGCTCACGATATTTTCTACAAAAAAGGTCTTCTAGTGATTTCTCTCAGTGTCAATAATTATTAAATTTAGTTTTGAGATAAGTCTGAGATGAGAGGATTTCCTAAGGACTATTTCAGAGATATCTCGAAAACTAACGGGGTTTGGGGAAAATGTCAAAAAATCTTTTTTGTTGTTGATGTAATTTTCTACAAGAAATATTCTGATGCTTTTTTTGTCACACTACTCACCACTGAGATAATTACACAATTAAGAAATGAGTAATGAGATAAGTCGAAGGATTTCCTAGACGTCATTTAGAAAAAATGTCGGAAGTAAGCGAGTTGAGGGAAGAATGCCAGATCTTTTTTGTAGCTCATGATATTTTCTACAGAACAGGTCTTCTCATTAGATCTCCTAACACTACTAATTACCGAGATGATTAAATGATTATCAAATGGGGGGAGAAATGACCAGAGAATTGTTTCACTGATTATTTCAAAAGGAAAAACAAGGGACCGTTTCTGTCTTTGATAAGATGGTTCTGAAAAAGGTCCATTGATAATTCAGGAATGAGTGATAAGATTAGTTGAAAAATTCCTGATGGGTTGCTTTCATTAGATCTTGATATTCAACAGGCTCAGGCAAAAATTTCTGAGAATATTTTTTGTGGCTAATGGAATTCCCTACAAATACACAGAACAAAGAAGTTTCTAGTTCCCAGAAGCAAATTACTGATTTTAAAAGAGTCATGAAAATAAGAAAAAGATTACGTCATTTCAGCAAGAAAATTCCCAAAAGTCAGTACCAAAAACCTACTTATTTCAAGTAAGAAAAGTTTTCAAATAAAGAACTGTCGCGTTCTTAGGTAAAAAAGCTTTGTCTCTTCCTGTAGTAATTGAGCAATAATTCAACATTAATTGAGTCAAGGTGTCAGATGATATTCGATAACGAAGGATGTTTAATATAAGATTTATGTTAGAGTAGAAGAAATCATCATTTCAAAAACCCAAAAGTTCTGAATTCCAAAAGCATGTTTGCCTTAAAATAAGCCAAAATTTGCCTTCCTTGAGTACAATTATACTAGAAAAGCTATAGAGAATTAATTCTTATCTGTTATTTTGTAGGGGTAATTCAGTAGCGAAGCGGTAAAACGATTTAAGTCGACAGAGCTCTTATCTGAGTTTTCAAAGAATAGAATCTTCAAATCTAAGGGAGATAGCGAAATTTTCATAATAACCTTTTTTGTAGAGCGAATCGAGAGGTATAGAAAATGTTGCAACCAGAATTTTGCTATCTGCTTTAGTTTCCGAGATATTCATTGAAAACTGATTAAAAGTCAAAATCAACTTGGACCGTTTTACCGCTTCCTTACTGAATTCTTTCAAAAGAAATGAAAATTTCACTTGTTTCCGGGATTTTTGGTCACTTGATGATCACTGTTGCGGTGCAACAGATTTTTGAAATGGAGAGATTTTTTACTGAAAACTAGAAACTTCTTTCTCTGTAGAAGATCATTTGATGATTTCTCCTCATACCTTTCATGTCCGAGATAACTGAAGAGTTACCAAATGAGCAGTGAGATGGCTTGGAAAATTCTGCGCATCTCACAAGTTACTTTAGTCATACCTCGGAAACTAGCGTAAGCAAAAATAGCGAGATACCTTCTTAATAGTCCCTGAAATTTTCTACGAAGAAAGGCCTCTTGGTGAGTTTGTTAGCAATCTCCCCCCATATATGTTGTGAAATACTATGTGAGGAAGGTTCAAACTTGTTGAGTGTTATCGTCATTTCATAATGACCTCGGTGTTTTAGGATTCTAGAAAAGGAAAGAGGAATGAAATATGAATTTACCTCGCTAGGGTGTCGACTCCTCGTTGAGTGCAATTCATCTCAGCCCGTATCTGCTCCAGTTCCCTCTTGAGTCTCGATACTCGGTCCCTCGCCAATGCCACATCAGACTTGAGAAGATCCGGGTCGTACTTGGTACTGAGTGAGCTAGAGCTCGAGCACACTAGAATTTTCAGAAACAAATTCATTATCATTTCGTGTTAAATCACAACCAATCAACTCCGCGAATTGAATCGAGAGACTTCTAGTGGATTATTAATGCATATTGAGACGCGTGACAGGATTGATGGACAGCCACCGATTAAGACACCGACTCTCGATGGATTTGTACAATCGAGCCACTCTAATTTTGTCAGTGGATTGATCATGGAGATTATTCACATCGTAGTGAAATGCCACTAATGTTGAGGCCAAGTCAAATACACAATCTTTATTAATGAGGTGATTATCTGGGGAATGAACCGTTCGATGAAGAAATGTCGTGATATCGTTGCTGCGGAGAATTCTCTTGGAGATGGAAAGGTCTCTGAATTTTTTGTTTACCCATTCAGTTCACAGATAATCGCATAATTAATGAAGTTCTTCTGTCGTATCCAATTTGACTTCTTTATTAATTTGTCAACTACTTAGGAAGTGATAAACTCTGTCAAAAATATTACAATCTTTGAATTTCAGGGAAACAATAAATTGCTTCCCAGCTATTTATCTATCCCTTGATGAATAATCATTTTCGATTCAACTCGACTTGACTCATCCCACTGATTAGTCGCCTATTTAGGGCATGATAAATATCATCAAGAATGTCAGGAGACCTCTCTTCAATCTTTTCTTCAAGATTGCTCATTATCGAGATAGTCCCAAATAATTAAAATGGGAGAAAAACTAACTCATTTTGCTCGGGTAAAAAAAGATCCCTTGTAATTCCGGTTCAGTCGCTGAATTGATAAAGTTTCTTGATTCAACTCCACTTATTTAATTAATTTAGTAATTATCTGAAGACAAGTGGGGAATTGCTCTTGTATGGTATATTGCTCTTGTTGCTAATAAATTAGCAATATACTTCCGAATGGTTATTTTGAACATCATTTCTTTCTATCACGTGTAATTCATTTTTTATTTCATTTTGTTAAATTGAATAAGACTTTCTTTTACCTAATTTTGTCAGGTTTTAACTTAGGTGAATGTTATCAGCATTATTATTCTTATTATCCGTTTTCTTCTATGCAACCGATAATCTTTTTTACAGTTCTATCTCTCCCCTCAGCCCTTCAATAAAATGTTAATAGAAAAATTTTATTTACACACACTTGAATGAATTTGAAACATTACATTTGAAGAAACCATCAGAAAGCTCACATTCAAGAAAATTCATGAAAAATTCGAAATTTTCAGCAATCATCATAAAAATCAAATCAACTAATATAGCTGTCGTAATCATCTTGTACCTTCGACTTAATGGCATTAAAACAAACATTTTAAGCTATGATTGAATTCATTTGAAGCATGATATTCAAGGATATCTCCGGAATTTTTATTTTCAAAGAATACAAAATTTTTGAAAATTTTCGAATAAATCGAGATAAGCTATCGTCTGCATCTTCGAACTCAGTCAAAGGGCCATCGAAACAAATTTTTTAAGCCGTCATTCAATCAATTCAGAACATTTAGTTATCGTGGGACAAGCAATTTTTGAAAACATTCAAAAATAAAAAAAAAATCGATGAGTTAAATTTTAATTAATGGCGGTCGATAGAGCTCAACAATACCTATATTTGAAAAAAAAATCAATTCCATTCATTCATTAGCGAACAATCGAAGAAAAACGTTATCACACATATACATACATGCACACAAACGCACGAACACGATCTAAAAATTGCATTTTCGGACCTTTTGGACAGGGATGGCCATCAATATTAATTTCTTCAATATTAAAAGGTTTTTTTGGCTTATATAAATCAAGATTTAAACATAATAATAGAAATTTAAAAATACTACAATAATTGATAACCTAAATTTCCAATTGATGATGAATTAAATAATTCAAAATATGGAACTATAAATTTTTCTATCAAGTAGATAATACTTAATTCCTTGTGACGGATTTCCGATTATTCAAATAATCGTCAATCTTCCTACCTCGATTACTGATTGATGAATAATTCAAAATTTGACTATTTAAAATGATGATTATTTCAATAATTAAAATTTAAAAGTGATATTAACTAAGTAATAACTTAATAATTTAAGAGTAATTATAATGGATATGGCTACTCCTATTTTTGGATCATAATGGGTCGATATGACACAAAAAATCCAAAACTTGAATTTGAACGATTGCAATGCTTCCATTCGGAAGCAAAAAGATTTTGTAATAATTTACTTCAACATCATTCATCGTCCAACTATTCTTAAAATCACCAAAATCAATCATTTAAACTCGTTGTTTCCACTACTTCCCCCTCACTTAACAATCAATTAATTAAAAAAATTTTGCTTACAACTCGTGCGCGATGCTCCAAGGGTAGTGAGTGCATTATTGAGATGATCATACTCATCTTGAGCCAGACACAGCCTCTGCTGTTTCACGTCATAAATCTCCTTCTTCGCCTGAAACACATTAAGAAGACAATCCATCAGTCCATTGTCCACCCTCCAATCTCATCATCTTAAATCAGTGACATAAAATCTTAAAAAAAATTCTTTGACAATCTTTCAAATCGTATCGACCGAAAAAATAAACGAGGCAGGATGATCCGGTGGAAGTCGACGGTGCGAAAGTCAGCTTATTGAACCGGCGAATCATGCATGACATAAATAGCACGTTGAAATCTTCGCCTCCCCCCTTCCCCTCGCCCAATTTATTTTCTTTTTGATACAACCTCAAGCTGCTCAGTGATGCATGCATTGCAGAGGCGTCGAATTCCTTGGCGATAAAACGCCTTCGAATTCATGATGTCGCGTGTCCATCGCTCGGATTACCAGAAGGATTTATATTCAAATCAATGTCATATTTAGATTTAAATCGTCGAATTGAATTGAGTTCTATATGACGATTCTGTACGATGAAATAATGAGAATGAGAATAAAAAATATTCACTTGTTGTTGGAATTGATGATTTTTTTGACATCAACACGGAGAAAAAAAGGCTTCTATTTTCGAGAATAAATTACTGATTTTGGAAAACTTATGGTTCACGAGAGCATTATACTGAGAATGAGAAACTGGTTCCCTAATTTCAGAAGAAAAATACCGAAAATTTTGTAAAAAAAAAAATTAGTTCGAGTGAGGAAAGTTCGTAAGTCAAGGACCGTTGAGTTCTTCAATTAAGAAACTTTGTGTTCTTCAACTAAGAATATTCCAAAGGGAGAAAATTCTGGCATAACTGGATATTGATTGAATATCAATTTCGTATTAATTGAGTCGAGGTGTCGGGTAATATACTTTAAATACCAAAGGATTTAGAAACATAAGTAGATTGATTTCAGAAAATGAAAAACCATAAACTCAAGAAAGAGAATGTTCATAATTTGAGACCCCAAAAATCGTGAGTTCCAGAACTAAAATGCCCTGAAAATAAGACAAGATGTGCCTCAATCTAAGCACAGTTCAGTAGTGAAGCGATAAAGCGGTTCAAGTCAATTTTGTCGAAGGATTGGTTTTCGATGAATATTTCGGAATTTAAGGAATACAAAAAGGTTTATGACGAAATTTTCGGTATCTCTCTTAAATTCGAAGATATTCTTTAAAAACTCTATACAATTTCAGTAAAAGTTATTGCAAAGTGGAATTTTGTTCCTGATTTTTAGCAGAAATTTCCGTAAAATAATCTAAAATACCGTTCACTTCCAGCATTTTTTGCTTGCTAGATTTTAGTACCAGAAATTTACAAAATTTCGAAATTTTTACTGAAAACTAAACACTTTTTAACTCTGAAGATTTATGGGATTTATATGGATCCTCATCATTTTGAAATGAATGAATTGATGAAACCTAATAACTCATTTTTTGCATCTGGGTGAATATGAAAATATTTTTATAACAAGTAATTGCAGAGAAAAACCCCAAAAGGTATTTCCTATTATGAATATTTTCAAATTAATATTTCCAGAGATGAATGCATAACTAGAAATTATGTAAATTTGAATTTTTATCACTTCACAACCCAACTATTATCATGAAAGATTCGTGTTCTGTTTATTTGTTTCACATTATTTAATTATTTCCCCAGAATAAATTTACCATAAATGAATATTCAACAAATACAAAGCAGATTGCTACACGTTGCTATTAATCTCGTTATAAATAATAGATTGTATCGAGTTGATATGCAACACAACGTGTGTGTTTTATAATGGGCCTTCTTGCATACCACGATGAAACGTTCATTAATGTATTCCGGTGTGATCTAGAAAGGAACGAGTTCGATATCAGTCCATGGGTGTCAGAAAAATAATATTGAATACTGTTTTACAGCGAGAAAAAAAATCAACGTGCGTGGGCTGGAGGTGGGTTTTTCACTGCCTCGTTTTATTAGCAAATCACACGTGCCAAGAATTATTCAGATTATTTGGATCCCTTTCAAAATATCTATCACTTTTGAACACTTAAATTCCGATTGAATTAGACCATTAAAAGAAAATAAATTGTAGAATGCAGTAACTGAAAGGTCAGCCCATTAACATGCTTAGGAAAAACGTGGGATACAAACAAGCGGATAGATAATTAAATATCGAAGAGAAGTATTGAAAACACATTATGATGACTACTTTTAATTTTCAATGAAACTGTCGTCCAATGTTTCAATTTACGTCATAAGGATAAAAATTTCCACTCCAGTAAATGTTGCCGATAAAAAAAAAATTATCGGACTTTTTCGTCAATTTATGATTCACCAGGGAGTTGCGGATTCCTCCGTGAATATTTTCGAAAGGAAGTGGTTCAAACAAAAAAAATTGTGATAAGTGTCTTGTAGTAAATTTCCTGGGGCATAGAAAAGATCTTATCACGTGTTTTTTTAACCCACTATTTTCAGAGATTTTTTCAAAATAATGTGCACGACATTTTCGATTCGTTTCCGGTTCTTCAGCTGTTCTGTGTCGGGTTAACATTGAAGAGAATTACAGAAAACTCTTTGGGTTATATCTTTTAATTTGCGATGCGACTTTCACTAAATGTTGATGAGACGAAAACTCACACTGAGAGAAAAATATCGTGGTTTCTACGGAATAATCCTATTGGAAGCATGTTCTTTTACATCAAAATAGAATTTCATTGTTTTAACGTTGTAATTCTCAATTTCGAGAGTGCACTGAGAGAAAAATGACAGTGTTCTCAAATAAGTCCTATGCGTGCCAAGAAATCGATTTTTTGAAAATTATAAAAAAAAAGATTTTTTCTGCCAAACATGCAGGGAGTGCACAGAGATGAAAAATTATTGTCGCAAAAATATATTTAGTAATTCAAACAAAACTGCATTCTCTGTACACGCAAGAAATGTTATTTCCAGGGAACCTATTCTCGATATACGGCCCATAAGGCATACCACGAGTCGCATGCGACCTATTGAAATCGAACGCACGATTTCAACTCGAGAATAGACTCCCAGCACTACTCCTTCGTTATTCGATACTGCCATCCGTATTTTGCTCCCGAAAAATGTTCGTTTTATGCGAAAAAAGTGATACGAGTTTTTCTTTTCTGCTATCTAATAATCACGGACAAGAAATGAATTCATGAATGAAACAATAATAATTATATGATAGCAAGCTTGTAACTTAGGGACGAAATATTTCTTGATGAATTTTCCTCTATATGAGATATTTTCATCCTGAAAAGGCACCATTTCGTGTGAATTATCCGTCCCTTGAGCCAAATATGTCGTTGTTGTCGAAAGCAGAACAATTATTCATGTTTGAGACTTTCAAATTCGAACCAAACAAATTCTTTTTTGGCAATTTTCAACTAGCGATTTTGTTGGCACAAACAAGGCTTGTTTGAGAATGTTTTTCTCTCAGCGTGGATTTCTTACAGAGCGTGTATAACGGAATATTCCTTCGAAAATGAGGCATTATTTCATTCTAAATATGTTACTAAATTCGATTCCATTGATATCGTCTATAATAAAGTTTCAAATTACGGAACGTGATGCATTCAAACAACTATTGAAATTCGATGAAATATTCAGGAAATACACAGGAATATATGATCGAATAGTTGATTCGTCAGAATCAATTATTGAAGGGTACAGTTTAATCATGCAATCGTCTAAAGGTGATGATATATTCCGGTATCGTCAATGGATTGTTTCATCGGCACTATTGACACTGCGCGATTGAGTCAAAAAATAATTCGTCTGTTTTACTACATTTTTCTCTCAGTGCATGATTTTTCGTAAATTTATAATCCACCAATGGAGTACAGAGTCCTTCGTCAATATTTCCGAAAGGGGTTTCGTTGTTAAAAATTTTCGTCTGAATTTTCCGTGTCACATTCCGGAAATTTTTATCGTGTTCAAGTTCCATTGAAATTTCAGGAAAACCTGACATTGAAAAACCAAATATTCCATTGATTTTCGGTTCAAATGATCTGGAAATCAGTAAAATAAATGAAAGTCAGTTCGATTCTTCTGTGAAAATTCAGTGAAAAATTGAAAATTCATGTAATTTTGTTTCTGAATATTCATGTTGCACTGGAAATTCAATCAAGTGGTGAAATTTCCATCGCGCTCCCACTGAAAACGCATGAATTTCCCTGAATTCTACTTAAAACTTGAAATTTCAATGTCACTCTCATGAGATTTACTATAACATCGTCAATGAAACTTCAAAAAATTGCCAACAGCATAGGGAACATCGAGACAACTATTCTGCAGCAAGCAGTCCAAAGTAGCTCACATCACCAGTTTCATAATTTCCCAAATATTTCCGAAAAAATCTACCCCAAGTGTTCTATAAATCCCCTGTTATCCCCCACTCCCATTGAATGAAGAAATCCAAAATTCTCGGAGGGAAAAACCATCGACGAAACCATCAATCACATCTTTCAACGCTCCATCAAGCCACGATCACCTTGAAAACCACAGACACAATACAACCAACCCACACATCCACGGTTCACGAATCCCATCCACATCTTTAACTCGCCATGACCAAATGAGCCAAAACCACACAAATCCTTCACTATCCCCTCAACCTCTCCCCAAATCACCACAAATGATCACAAATTCTCCCCAAAAACCTCATCAACTACATTAACGCTTACATATTCACAATAGTAGTACGCAGTAGCGTCACTGTCATCCCTCCTGTAACACTGCTCCCAGTAGAACCTCTGTATTTGCTCATCATTCTCGTAATCATTATGATAGCACATTCTCATCCGATACTGTGACACTATATTCTCGTAAATCTGCTCCTCCTGCTGGCGCTTCTGCACATGCCTCTGCTGCTCCTGACTCTTCTGCTCTCTCTGAGCATCCCTCTGCACATGCCTCCGTCCCTCATACTGCTGATACTGCTGATACTGCTGATACTGCTGATACTGCTCTCTGTACTGATACAACTGATGATAATTCCTCAAGTACTGCTGATTCTGCTGGATCTGCTGA